AGACAAATTGAACTTGCGTCACTTAGCCATTGGATTTTAGTTTAAAAACTGTGTTTTTTCTGTGTGAAGTCAATCGAATTCTAAAGAAGGAAATAGATATTTTTATTGTGATGCGTAGTTAGTGTCCAAGAGTTGATACCGTTACACACACACACACACACATACTCGTTCAATACACAAGTCCAACTACTCGTGATATAAAAAAAACAGAAATTGCGAAAGGAGGTGGTCCCTTGAGAATGGAAATTTTTTTTCTTGAACAATCATGTGCACTTATCTGATTGACTGATACCTTTTCAACCCCCCCCCCACTGTATCACCTTTCGCTTTTTTAAACCTAACCTTGATATCTCTCAACTATTCCTACAGTCATTCTGTCTGTCAGCAACAACGTAGAACTTGATACGTGCATACGTACATCAGTTCAAGTTGTTATACCATATTAGCACACTCAGAGACACAATAGTTGACTTGTTATGTTTGAAATTATTACGAGTTCACCTTAGAGTTGGTAAACGAGAGCGAAGACAAATGATCCAGTGACACGATAGGCCACTCTAATCTGAGTGTCCGAAGCCCCCACCAAGTAGATGAAGTCTTGACAAGACATAGAAATGTATTCTACAAGCTCCCAGAAAATCGAGGTCTATAAGTACACAAATCGAGTTTATTCAGACAAAACAGAAACATCCTTGGGAGAGCCACAAAAATAGAGTACTAAAATAATACATCAACCAATAACAGTCAAAGATCTTCCGAGCGGGAAGTGTAATCGCAAGGTCAACTAAGCAGCTTATGCGCGAAAACACGAAAAAAAATCCAAAATTAGCACCTTTTCCGGGTGAGTTCTGGCGGATCTAACGTCCTCAGCACACGATTCCAATCCCATAGTGGTAGATGTACGGTTGTTAACCAAAGGACGAGTATACTGCGCAGCAGTTCGCTCTGTCCTACTATACTGATGCGAAACATTGCCGTTAAGAGTAGATGACATTCGTAGGTTACTGGTTTTCGATCATAGGTGTATCCGAAGCATTGATTGTGTACTATGGGACAACCGAGTAAGCACTGCTGTCGTTAGGAAACGAGTTCTAGGTAGGGATGGCAGATCACTAGATGAAGTAGTGAAACTTCATCAGTTGAGGTGGTTGGGACATGTGTTACGTATGTCCGACCACCGACTGCCGCGACGAGCTATATTTTGTGGTGTAGGAGTAGGTTGGGGTGGCCAGACCAAAACATGGCAGAAATGCATGAAGTCACTGACAAGTGGACTGAGTCATGTTGGTAGATGTAGGCCTCGTGGTCGAGGTCCGCGAGACGAAAGTCACCAATGGTTAGAGACCTTGAATGACATGGCTCAGAATCGTTTGGAATGGCGCAAGTGGATTCACTATTTGTGTGCTTTTTAATTCTAACCTTCTGAATTCCTCATAATCTCTCCATCTTTCTCCTTCTAAATTTATCTTACTGAATTATACTTTGCGATTCATATCTTCTCCATTACTGCTCCATTACTTCTATTATTGCTATCACTGTTGTATTTGAACTGACAGTTGCTTCTCTGTGTGCTGATGTGGTATGGCAACCTGAGCTCTGATGTACTTACTTACGTACGATGTTCTGCGTTGTATCTGTCTGTCTGTTTGTCTGTCTGTCGTAAAAAGTATGCATGATCAATAATAATCGGACAATAATTCCTACAGAATTTTTTCCTTTTTTTTGATTATGAAATGACTACTGATTTATCATGTGTGACTACTGTGCTACAGTTTGTAATTCATCAATTTTTTTTATATTCTATTCATCTTATTCAGTTCATGGATTGTATCTCCAGCTAGTTCATGGATAGATGATTATTTTGATTGGTTAGATCCAAGTAGTTCTTCATTATGCTGTCGAATTAATCGAAATACTGGGGAATTTTGTTCACCTGATTTAATTGACTCAAATTGTACTGCATGTTCAGTGAATTTAACTGATGGACGACCGAATGCTACAGATTTCAATTATTATTTACCATATTTCTTATCGGAAAATCCTGGATTAAATTGTCCTAAAGGGTAAGTTTTTTTTTCTGGTTGTGTGTGATAGGTCGTGAAGATAAGAGAGAGTTATTAGGGGAGATGTAGAAAGGTTATTGATTCTGACCAATTTGGTTTCATGTGCTTTGATGCATATGAAGGCGGATGTTACTTCACGGCTGCGCACACCGTGGAAGATTGTCAGAAGAAGAGGGAATCGGCCTCATGAACCCTGAAGGAACTTGGCTTTCATCATGAGATGTCATATTAAGTCTTCTAAATGAAGATCTTCTAACTCTCAGAGTAGAGTTTAAATGGTTTGAATTAGTTTTTCTTGTTAACGGTTTCTTTTAGCGAATCAGTCTTTTTTGCAGGATAGGGTCGCCAACACCATGCCCAACCCTCCTTTATCCGGAGGGTCTATAGGCGGAGTTTTAACACAAAACTTATCTAATCAATACTTTGTATAACCAAACTAATATTGTTAGTGTTATGCGTATGACTGAATACGTGACTGGTTATTATGTTGTTCTGAAACATTTCATATTAACCTGAGTCTCAATGACAATGTTAATGAATACCATTATCTGTCCACAGTAAATAAACGAACCGTGTATTGGAATATCTATTTATATAATGACTATGTTTGTATGACACGTGATACAATCACTACAGTTGATTAGTATCCTGATTTAGCATACACTTAACTCAGTACGATTTTGTGTCGTAACTTAAATTCAAACAGAAGTCATGCACAGACGAGATGAATCATGAGACACCAAAAAAGTAAATACGGTTTTGTAGATGAGTTTATTTCATGCAATCATTCACACAGGCAGACATGAGAGAATACGAAGCGTACAAGCAAAGAGGAGTGAAGTGAAAAAGACGTCTAAGCTAACTCAAGGCGATGAAACATGGCTAAGTATTTCAAGTTAGGTAAAGTAAGCTAAATATGTGCTAAGAGAAGCAACGCACACGCACAACAACCAAGATTTTGAGCGAATAAGCGACCACCAGATTGTTGGGGATGTTAGGTCCCATTTATTTCATGGACCCATCAGTTGACCTTGAGATCACATTTCCCACCACAAAAATCCTTGGCTGTGATTGGTTACTGTGTCATTTTAGTGTAGTATTTTTGTGTCTGTCCCAAGGACGTCTCTATAGAGTATAAATAAATGCAATATGAGTGCTTGGATTCATTGTGTGCTGGGCTGGGTGTTTTTAGAATACAATTTCTACACTATATCAAGACTTCTTACTGATTCAATTTGGTCAAGGGATCACAGTAGCCTACCTGGACGCTGGTTCATTGTTTTGTTCTCGTTATTTGACTAAGGTGAACTCGTAATAGTTTAAGCATACTTAGAGACGAGCATAACACAGGTTAAAAGACGAGGGAATGGGGTAACTCAAGAAGAATTAATTACTGGATTTTCCCAAAGGCTGGGACAAGTCCTACGTCTTGACTTATTACTATACTACACACTAAAATGTACAGTGTGATCGATAGGATTACGCACATGTTAACAATTCGACTATACAGAACACCATCAGATTGTTTCACGAGGCACGCCCTCACTTGAAATTTTCAATTTCAAAGGAAAAGAGGAGGACTAAAGAACATATTATTACGCCAAGAAAATAGCGGCAGACATCATAAGAATGAATAACAATTGGTTAGAACTGAAAGGGATGGTCAAGGACAGAGTAGATTAGACAATGCTTGTTAGTGGTGGCCTTTGCTCCATTAGGGTGAACAGGAAAATCGCTTACTGACCTAGAATATGCCGATGACATAGTTCTATTCGGTGAAGACGCTGACAAAATGCAGAGTCTTCTGACTACCATAAGCAACAATGCGAGCATGTTCGGGATGCGGTTTTCCCCCTCGAAATGCAAAATGTTGCTTCAAGATTGGGTTGCATCGGCACGTGAACTAGTGATAGGGAGTGAAGTAGTCGAGCGTGTTGATCACTTCACTTATCTGGGGAGTTTCATCAGTGCTAATAGCCTAGTGACTGACGAAATCTTAACGCGGGTACAGAAAGCTCGATTTGCTTTTTCCAATTTACGCCGTTTATGGCGCAGACGAAATATCTACTTGCTAACCAAAGGATGAGTGTACTGCGCAGCAGTTCGCTCCGTCTTACTTTATGGCTGTGAAACATGGCCGTTAAGAGTAGAAGATATTCGTAGGTTACTAGTATTCGATCATAGATGTCTTGGAAGCATTGCTCGTGTATAAGCAAGGCTGTCGTTAGGAAACGAATTCTAGGTAGGGGTGGCAAATCAATAGATGAAGTGCTGAAACTGCATCAGTTGAAGTGTTTGGGACATGTGTTACGTATTGCTAACCACCGAAGCCTCGACGTGTGTAGTAGTAGGTTGGAAGAGAGCTAATGACGGCCAAACCAAAACATGGCAGAAATGCATGAAGTCATTGACAAGTGGACTGAGTCTGTTGGTAGATGTAGGCTATCTGGTCGGGGTCCGCGAGACGATAATAACCAATGGTTAGAGACCTTGAATGACATGGCTCAGAAATCGTTTGCAATGGCGCAAGTGCATTCATTCGTTGTGCTCTCTCAACTCCTAATCTTCTCGATTTGTCAGCATCTCTACCTTTGTATTTCTAACCTTATTTCACTAAATTATACTTCTTGAATAATATCTTCAAACCCTCTAGTCTTCTTCATTACCATTAATACCTCTACTATCTTTATCACTATGGGATTTGATTTGACATTTGCGTCTCTGTGTGTGCTAATGTGGTATGGCAACATGAACTTATGTACATACGTACGAAGTTCTACGTTCTAACTGACTGACTAACTGATTGAACAGGTAACAAGCATAAGTTAAATATGCTAGCTTAGATTCCAACTACAAATCTCTCTCTCTCTCTCTCTTTATGTATATTTTTATTGTCTAAATGTTTTGTTTTTTTCTTGTGCTCTTTCTTTTTTCCAGCGGTAAAGCTGCTTATTCCGTTGGTGTTCGTCTTTTATTCAACAATATAAGTAATAATAATAATAACAATAGTAATGTAACAGTTGGCGCAAATTATTTCATGACATATCATAGTGTTTTAAAAAGTCCAGATGATTATGTGAATGCGTTGAAAGCAGCAAGATATTATGCGAATAAAATTACTCAATCATGGTATGCAACAACAACTGATCGTAATGATGATGATCATGATTACATGACTGGACCAATTCGTCGGAATACTGTATTCCCTTACAGGTGATACAAATATTCACTATTTCACTATTATCATGATTATATCTGTCTATCTTACATGTTTCAGTGGTTATATTCAAACAAATTAGTGTCATTATGAATAGATTACTTGTTGATTAACAAACACATTAGAGTGATCAAAAATGTTAATATCCTTAAAAATTACTCCTCGACTGTAGCTGCTACCTTGACGTTGGTGGTGGTTGGGCTTGTCTCTATCGCGTGATGATCCAGCTGACTTCTATATTGGCTGGAACATATGTTCCTGTAGGTCTGTTACCCTTGTTAAGCATGTTGATTAGAGGACTGAGGTAAGACTAAAATCAGCAACTCATTGTCTGGGAGCGGTTGAAAAGTTATGGGGCGGCCAGACCAAAACATGGCAGCAATCCATGAAGTCACTGATAAGTGGATTGAGTCACGTCAATAGGTGTAGACTGCCTGGTTGGGATCCGCGAGATGATAATTGATGCTTAGAGACTCTGAATGACATGGGTCAAAACCGTTTGCAATGGCGCCGATGCATTTATTCTCTGTGTTCTCGCAAATCCTAATCTTCTGAATTCTTCTACACCTCTAGTTTTGTCTTTCTAAACTTATCTCACTGAATCATACTTCTTGAATAATATCTCCTAATCGTAACCTCTCCGATTACCTCTAATACGTTTACTACCTCTTCTACAATTGGATTTTAATTAACAGTTACATCTCTCTATGCTAATGTGGTATGGCGACATGAACTGATGTACTTACGTACGAAGTTCTACGTTGCATCTGGTTGACTGACTGATGTCTGGGAGAAAATCGTACTGATGACCGTAAAGGGATGTGACGGCAGTAAGATATTTCTCTCGGACAACTAGCATCTGAAGCAATGCTAATTCCTCACAACAGAAGGATGGAGTTAGAAAAGGTCTACCCAATGGATTTCGGTCTCCTGTGATAAGGCATTTTGAAGAGCAAAGCTAGCACTTCAAAAACTACCCATAATAAAGCTATGCATAACACCGGCCTGAAGCAGTTGTCCCTTCATCTCTGTGGTCACGCTCCCAGATCGCTAAGAGCAACGTTAACCCAATTTCTTTTTCAGGCTCATCAAGAAATACCTTTCTACCGTGTGCGTAACTTGAAAGTAATATCTACTCTCATACCTTTAAAAGCACACGGAACCCCAAACTAGTCAAAATCATGAATAAATTATTATTAGACCACCATTAGAAACCTGGAAGCACTAGACAATCATTTCGTCTTGGTATGTGACTGCTCATCAGCAGTACGTACGTATCTATCCATGACTCCTGCTACTAATCACATGGTTCGAACCCATGACCTACAGTTTTGCGTACGAACGCTCAACCTCTAGACCAACTTATCCCGGCATCCACCAATGTTCATTTCTACTAACTCTGATCAATCTAAGTATTTTCCACAATCTCACCCATTCCCATTGTCTTTGGTAGTAGGTTACTGCCTTTGTAGTGAAGGAGAACACAGGTGGGGCAACCCAATTGTATTTAACGAAAATTACAGAGTTACTCAGTAAAATAGGGAAAAACCATATCGTAAATTGTTAATTTGCAAAATATCAGTTCATCATATCGAACTGGATTACTGTTCCTGTTGCAAAACATCAATCCATTGTCACTATTCATGCGTTTCATACAAATTCCATTGTTTTCTAACTCTTCCTTTCTCTTGATCTTCCCCCATCTTCTGCTGCCACCAGGCATTACGTTGACACTCACGTCATATACTACTACTTATAAGTAGCGCGCACCACACTCGTCCCCCCCCCGCTTTAATAAGCTGTCGTCATAGTCTTGCTTGCTGATTGCCGTACCGTTGTCATCTTTGATGCTTTTCGTGACTCATACACTTGATAATCTTGAAACCATCTGTGCAGTTGACTAGCATTTACGTGCTTCTTCTTGTCTTCTCTCCGTAAGCCATTTATCTGCTGCTGATACGGTGTAGTTCGTATCCTCTTGATGCCAAACTGCTTTAGATGATGGGCTTTTTTAAACTCGTCGTCACTTTCAAAAACAGGTACCCTGGTCAGTTTAACACTCACGTCATATACTACTACTACTACTACTACTTATAAGTAGCTCCCAACACACCTACACACAGTCGACAAGGTTGAATCAACTCCCCTAGAGGAGGTTTATTTACATGCCTAACTCAACTAGAAAGAACTTCAACAATTGAATTCTTTTGTTTACCTTTTATTTTTCTGTTTCAGTGTATTCTATGTATTCTATGAACAATATTTAACATTAGCTAATGAAGCAGCATTTCAACTTGGTATTTGTTTACTTGCTATATTTATTGTAACGTTGATATTTTTTGGTTGTGATATTATTGCTACAATCATGGTAATATTTGGTGTCATGTATATTGTGATTAGTGTATCGGCGATTATGGTTCTATGGTCAATAACATTGAATGCATTATCTTTAGTGAATTTAGTTGTGGTAAGTAAAAATGTAATTTTGGTTTGTTTTGGTGTGTTGTTTTTACTGTTATCAATTACAAACTATCAGACTGTGTGTGGATGCACCTTTTGGAATTCTTTATAGAAGGAGGTTATCATTTCTCTTACTTATTAGGATTATAGAAAGTATGTACTGTGTCGATTTTATTGCGTGTTCTTCTAAAGCTCAGTGGTAATTAGCTCGTCTAGACAATTGTGTTACTAATACTAGTTAGTGTCTGATGGTTTATATAAATCAGAAGGTGAATTCGTAGTGTGTTGATGAATACGTTTTATTTTTGGGACAGAACACCACAAAGCAAAGCGGAGAAGTAGTGAATAAATAGAACGAATGAAGCGATGTGAATTGGAGAAGGCTGTTGAGCCAACTCCTAGTGTAGTGAAGGAGAACAGAGGTGAAGGCAACCGAATTGTATTTAACGAAAATTACAGAGTTACTCAGTAAAATAGGAAAACCACATATCGTAAACGGTGAAATTTGCAAATCTTCAATCCATCATCAATCCATTGTCTGACATTTCACATATTCATGCGTTTCATACAAATTCCATTGTGTTCCCACTCTTCCTTTCTTGATCTTCCCCCATCTTCTGCTGCCAGACATTACGTTTTCACTCGCGTCATATACTACTTATAAGTAGCGCGCACCACACTAGGATTACAATGCGAACGAATGGGCGAAGGAAGCGAATGAATAAGCGAAGCGATTTGGAGAAGGATAATGAGCCAACTCCGTGAGATAGAGCGTGACTAAGAATCTATAGTCAGACAAATATAATAAGACTGACATGCGACAAGCGAAATAGGCACACATGAATAAAAGCGACGAATAATTGACAAGGTCAAATGACAAGTGGAACACGTCATGTGAGCTCATCATACAAACCAGACAATAATATAAGAACGAATGGTACATTATAAATTGTTGCAATACACAAGTGGCTTGGTCAAACAAATTAATCGAAAGGGCATAATCAAATTAAATGTAAGCGAACTGGAATATATGTGGCGGCATTAACCTTAACCCTAATCCGAACTAGGGATCTGGGACCGGGTCCTGGTCGTGGTCATAAAATGTTACAGATAATACGTATACATACATTTTGGTCGAATAGGAAACAGCATAGAAGTCTCTGACATTGACAGCTAAGTCGGCCAATAGGAAACAACATCTGAGTGACGTTAACAATCAGGACAACCAATAAGAAAAAACATTGGAGTACGTGACATTGATATCTAGGATGACCATAAAATTGACCAGTAGGAATTAACCAATAAGAATTGACCAATAATAATTCTCTTAGGATATTGGATAAATATCCTAACAAATTCTTTATAGAATCATCATTCCTCTTAGGATTACAGAAGGTACTCTTTACTGATAGACACTAATCATTAAGAAAATTAGGTCTGACAATCATATAATATCTCATCATAATAGTGCTGGTGATATTATCGAGTCATTTAGTGTAGGCTAGTGGTGACATTGCTTCTTGATCGATAGAATTCAGTCGGTAAGTTAGTCTTCATTCCCCGTTCGCCTTTATTCGATTTGATTGATCGGCCTAAATAGACGTGGGTTTGATGAAACAACACATAAGCTTACGCCAGTTCATGGTTAGGCAAATAGGAACATCGCAATTATGTGACTGTTTTCTTCTAAAGATTTGACGTCCATGCCACTCACTTTACTTCCTGTGAATTTGATGAATTCTTAGCAAGTTATTTCACATCTTTGCCGAAAAA